ATCTGTAAATTTGTATGTATGCGGATTTTTTTTTGTGTGTTTATACATCTATATGCATATCCTCAATTAGGAATATATTCTATGTAATAATTTCCTTTTCTTCCGCCGGAGTTAAGGTATCAATACCTCTTTAAATTTCAAACGCACCAATACAAATATCTGTATTCTAACGTATACATACAAGATTACATGGTATCTCCTGTCAATTTGCTCTTGCATATGCTCATGTACGTTTGTGTATAAGTGTATGCGCCAATCGATAAGTTAATAGCCCATAGGCCACGTATGAATCCTATTTGTTGTACTATCATAGCGTGCAGGTGGAGGTAAGCAAGCAAGCACAGCACCGTCTCAGGGTAAGAGGAAAGCACGTGCACAGCAAGATGCAGCGGTGGCACTGATTGAGAAGAACGCCTCGTACGCTATACTACACGATGATGAAGGGGAGGCCGATGAAAAGGCCCGCAAAAAGGCTAAGAAGGCCAAGAAAAAGGATAAAAAGGAGCGTGAGAAACATTTGAGGGCTAATAGAGGAGATGCGGAGAGAGATGGCGACGAGGATGATGATGGGATCAACAGAGACTATCTGGAACAGAGGCATAGGAGGGTGTGTAGTGTTGGAAGATAGTGTAGTGTGGGTGTATAGTGTAGGTATGGAGTATGGGTGTGTAGTACGAGTGGGTGGTATGGGCGTGTTGTATGGGTTTGTGGTATGGGTACAAAGTATGAGTGTGTAGTTTAAGTGTGTTGTACGAATCTGTGGTGTGGGTGTGTTGTATTGATGTTTAGTATGTGAGTGTAGTGTGAGTGTGGGGTGTGAATATAGTGCGAATACAACTGCGAGTGGGTGGGTTGCGTATTTGTGTATGCGCATGGTCTCTATGTGATGCCTGTATACGTTTGGTGTATATGCCTCGCCTGTGCGTGGCGTCTGTGATGCATTGTTGAAGTTGGGAGTGTGAGGTGTTCATGGTTAGTGTGGCTGGTTGGTTCTGTTCTGGTACATGTATCTCTGCAGTGGTCTTTGTATGTCTTAGAGCATGTCATTTGTTGCAAGGCAGTATGGATACAATCTTATTATACGAATCAGCTTCTGAAGAACATATAATACAGATTGGTTATATACAGTTATTCTCGTGTGCGAATGTATGCAGCAAATAATTTCGCTGACATGTTTTTGGGTTCGAGATTAGACCAGTAGTGTATCTCTACGTGTGAGTGGAGGCTGCTTATATACGCATACATCGATGCAGACACAGATACACATACCGGACAATACAATGTTCGTATTCTGTATAAGATAATCAAGTGACAAAGTATTCTACACATCCCTAAGCACAGAATGCTTTTTCACGCGTCTAAACACATCAGAAAGCATACGACACATGTCTGCGCACCTCGGTTCATACAGTTGGAGCCACAAAACGAGGTTTCTATACCTCACATAATCACGCAACCCAAGCGGTAGAAAGGAAATCGACATGCACAGCAGATGTACACAACACAAGGTTTTCATCTGTACCTGTCGCCCACCACATCTATTACTCGGCTCAGCTTCTGTTGAATCCTATTATATTCATACATACAGACGGAGCTAGACCCCGAGGCAGCAGCTCTGGCCGAAGAGGATGCGCAGAGAGACAGAGATATTGAAGAGCGCGATGCCTTTGCGGACAGGTTAAAAAACAAGGATAAGGACAAGACTCGAAATATGGCGGATGGCAAAGGGAGAACAAACGTGACTATGGAGGCGGTGAGTGGGGTGCAGCGTACGTACGCAACTGTACTGTATACTGAAGTGTTAGGAGATGTACTCATTCATTGTGTGCATGTGGTCATGGGAATAGCATGTGCTGTATATATGCACATGAAACGAGTCACATAGAGTTGTACGTGGTAGTATTGGGCATACAGTGGTTTCTTCCTCGAGGTACTATATTGGAGAACGTTATTCCTTTCTGCATGCATATATTGTTGTGATGTTTCTCGACAATTGTAAGATATCGGAATTGTATAGTCGTCCGGTGCTGTATAGTGTTCGTGGCGCGCTCATGTATGTATTTACGTATGTATGTATGTATGTATGTATGTATGTATGTATGTGTGAAGGTATGTATGTATGTATGTATGTATGTATGTATGTATGTATGCATGCATGTATGTATGTATGTATGTATGTATGTATGTATGTATGTATGCATGCATGCATGTATGTATGTATGTATGTATGTATGTATGTATGTATGTATGTATGTATGAATGTATGTATGTA